TTCCAGTTTCCAACAATGGCGGCCGCTGAGTTTTAATATTACTCTAATTAATCCACGTAGACCGCGAAGGCCGGGTCCTCCGAAGGATGGAGCCGGCGTTTTGGGACACAGCTAAAGTCTTCAGGTTCCTCAGTGTTGGATAGTTTTCTGATGGTTTCTAAGTGTGGACGCTGATATGATTGACAGGTGTACGAGCCAATCCCATCGCTGGACCTTCTGGCAGAGCGGCTGTCGGCTTTTCAGCAGCAGTACAACGAGGCGGTGAGAGGCGGAGCCATGGATCTGGTCTTCTTCAAGGTGATGATGACTCCTGTCACACTCTTCACCATGACCTTTGTTCATATCAGCTGATGGTGACCCTCTGTGTGTGGTCCAACGACAGGACGCGATGATCCACCTGATGAGGATCTCACGCATCCTGAGGACGCCACAAGGAAACGCCCTGCTGGTCGGGGTGGGAGGGTCGGGGAAGCAGAGCCTGACGAGGCTCGCGTCGTTCATCGCAGGATACCAAACCTTCCAGATCACACTGAGCAGGTGAGTGCTTCCTGCGATTCATCGTGACCAACGGAAAATAAACACAAATAAGTCAGGTGTGAAAAACAAACTCACTGGGCAGAAGTGTAAACAAGTGGTGGGACACAGTCAGCACTCGTCCAATCACCACTCGTCCAATCACCACTCGTCCAATCACCACTCGTCCAATCATCATCCAGTGTCCCTCATCCACAAGATATTCACACTCCTCCCTTTCAGGCAGAACTCCTCACAAACCCGCAGAAGAAAGTCTGTAAATGAAGTTCTGTGATAAACTATTTTATTTATATAGCAGCAAATTAAACAACAGCCGCCTCACTGTGTTTATACTGTAAGATAAAGACCCTACAATAACACCACCAATCAGACGAGCCCCTGTGAACAAGCACTTGGTGACAGTGGGAAGGAAAAACTCCCTTTTAACAGGAAGAAAAGAAGCAGAACCAGGCTCAGGGAGGGGCGGGGCCATCTGCCACCACCTGTTGGGGGTGACGGAGGAAGACATTCATTTACTTTTCGAACATTCTGCCCCCAACAAATATTTAACACAATAAAAAGTTTTCTATCTGCTGAAAGTTTTTCCTTCAGAGGGGATCGTCTGAGTGTTGGGGCTTCTCTGTGTTACTTACAGTATAAGTGTGTGCGTGTGCGTGCGTGTGTGTCTGTGTGTGCGTGTGCGTGCGCGCGCGCGCGCGTGTGTGTGTGTGTGTGTGTGCTGCAGGTCGTATAGCAGCAGTAACCTGCTGGAGGATCTGAAGTCTCTGTATCGGATCGCCGGTCAGCGCGGGAAAGGCGTCACCTTCCTGTTCAGCGACAATGACATCAAAGAAGAAGCCTTCCTGGGTGCCAACGATCAGCTGACAGCTTTGATGATTCACAGATGATGAAACTCGCTCTCGTCTTTAGTTTGCACCACAGCAGAACAAACATCAGCTGAAACTTTATCTGTTCATGTGAATCATCATGTGAAATATCAGGAAGTCTGAATGTAAAAGGAGGAAAACTGATTTTTTTACACTGTTTGTTTGTCCTGCTGATGGAAGCAAAGGTCAGAGGTCAGGAGGTCATGGGGTCAGGGCCCGTCTTGTTTTCTGACTCCTGTCTCCTCTCCTGCAGAATACATGAACAACGTCCTGGCGAGCGGTGAAGTTTCCAACCTGTTTGCTCGAGACGAGCTGGATGACATCACTCAGGACCTGATTCCCGTGATGAAGCGCCAGCATCCTCGCCGCCCGCCGACGCCCGAGAACCTCTACGACTTTTTCCTGTCCCGCGTGCGGAGCAACCTCCACGTGGTCCTCTGTTTCTCGCCTGTCGGGGAGAAGTTCCGCTCTCGTGCCTTAAAGGTGCGGCGAGGACTCAGGTTCACTGGTCACATGACCCTGATGATGATGTAAGCTGGTGGAGCCAAAGGCTCTGTCCTCCTAAGAATTACTGTTTCTCATCAGTGACCTTTGACCTCTGCCCTGAACAGTTCCCAGGTCTGATTTCTGGCTGCACAGTGGACTGGTTCCAGCGTTGGCCTCAG